GGCCCGCCCCGCGCTAACGCTGCGCGCGGCGCTTCGCCCCCCCCGGCCCCGCTTTTTAAAACCTGGAGCAGCGTAAATAGTTTGACTTTGTACTTTGGTATGTGCAATCAGAATTTGTAAAATAAAAGCAAATAGAAATTTAAATATTTAGCATGCAAGGCCAACTACGCCAACCCCTCAAAATACCTCCATAACGCAATTAATACCTTTTTCCCTTTTCCTGTCTTGAAGAAAAAATTATTTTCCCTTTTTAATTTAAAATGTATGTATGTCTTTGTGCTTTGCTGTGAGTTACTTGTTAGTAAAGGCAGGGTACAAACGTGTCCTGCTTTTGGTATGGAAGGTGGGCGTGCTTAACCCTATTTGGTACCGCGTGTTTTTGACACGAACTGGAAAGGCCATAGGAATGGATAGCATGAAAGAAAACCGAAGCCTCTGCTCCTCTCCCGCTGGCTGTGTTTACACGTCCTTAAGCGTGATCTTGGCAGACCCTTATTAGTGTTATTGCCATAATAGACTTCTCCTCCGTAACCTCTAACTTTCTGCAACAAACTGACTTGAACTGTTAAGCTTTGGCACTTCATTAGATAAGAAAATTATGTAAAAACACTTCTGTGGCGGACACGTACGCAGCGAATAATTCCGCCAGACGTACTTTTCAGAGGTAGCGCAGCTATTTTGTTCCATTTTAGTGACGGGAAAAGTCAGGAGGTCTCTCGGTCTGGGGTTGCTCCACAATTACAGAAGCAACTGCCTGTCTTCCCTCGTCTAAAGTAATAATAATAATAATGATAATAATTAGGTCAAAGTGCATTCACTAGCACAGTCAGAAAATTCACGTGCGTGTCTTTGAGGCGTGTCCCAGCGATGTGGCGCTCAAGGGCCTTGGACGTGACTGCGGCAGGCCTGCGGGCCGGCCCGAACTCGTCAGAAGCTCACGCACCGGCTACGGGGTGTAATAAGGCTCCTTCGAGCAAGCCGGGCGCAGCGTCTGCGGGCCCGGACTGCCTGCCTCCGCTGAGCCAGGGGGAAGACCACGGTCAACGCGCGTGTTGTTCTAGTGGCTTCCTGGCAGATACCGTCTGAGACAACAGCGGCTGATGTCAGGAAGGAGAGGCAACAGCGTCCTCAGATCGCTGTGCTCTCAGCGTGGCGGGTCACGGTGCGGGAAGGTCAGACGTCGCTAGAGGCTCCAGGCTGAAATCCCTCAGCTCGGGCTGCAGGCGCCTCGCACCCCCCCTCGCACATCCTAACCCACGTGCGCCAGCAACGGGGCCGCCCGCGAACCTCAGCGCCGAAAAACACCGGTCACCGTGACAGCAGGACAGCGTGCTGCGGCTAATTCTCAGTCGCCCGACTTCATTACGTTTCCTAGTGAAATGGGGTCAGCCATCCACCCGATTTCCTCTCTCTGACCATCAGTTCTGCTTGTCTTGGTGATGAGGGCAGCGCAGGCGTAACGGTTTGGTGCGTGCATTGACATCAAAGTAAGGGCAGAAACGCTGCAACAGAGGGGGTAACCGTGCTGCACCACGCAAACACCGGACGGGGCAACGCTGCTGCGCGGGCGATAGGAACGGCGGCCTCTGCGGCGCCGCTTTCCTGGAGGCGTGAAGGTCTGCTCACGACACAGAGGTGTAGAGTGAGGAAAAGCTCGTGATTTGGGGGCCCTTTGGCCTGCTCAGCGGGTTGTC